TTAGCGCACCTGTATAGCGATGTACGCCGGATCTCTGCTGTTCCCACTGCGCAACACCTGCACAGCTAGAGTTCCCGCATTCTCACAAACACGATAACAGGAAGCAGACAGCTCCACACGAGACCACCTCAGTTCAATCCTGTGTCGGCCGACGGAAAAGACAAATACCACATTGGGACTGAAATTTTTTTGAATTGTCTAGAATTCATATAAATTCCTGATCAGTTTTGTCAACTGTCCTAATGTGTATTTTTTTATAAAACCCTAAAATAAAATTACCAAATGAACCACTGAATCATTTAATAGAAAAACAATAGAACATATATTGTTTAACATTAATGATAATAATGTTTATTATACACGTTTATTTTTCTATAAATTTATGTTAATATTTTATTTTTTACATTATTTTATATATTTATATTGTATAAAATTCCACGTACAATTTTTACGAGGTGGCTAATTCGTACGACCTCACTCTACGATTTTTGATAATCGTACATATTTTACGAGTTGGGCGTCGTGACGTCATTACTGGCGTGGCGGCCATGTTGGCGGCAGCTAGCGAATGTAAACAAACAGCAAGTTGAGAGAAAGAAAAGAAATAAATATGTTATCCCTAAAAAGATGTGGAATATACCGGGAAACGTTAACTAGGGAAGCCAGCGACCGGTATGTGGACAAAATATAGGCAATATCAACGGTTTGGATCCTTATGAAATTTCAAACAAAGATTGGAGCACCGACGACGACGACTTGCTGCGGCAGTTTTGTATAAACGATATCTTCAGCTACCTGGTTTGTGGTGTGAGCACCTACACCTCAGAACAGTTCCGAAGCTACATTAGAGTCGCGCACTAATGGATGGGTTCAGGAGCTGCAAACAGTGGGAACACAGTAATCCGGACAAAGGTAAGCTCACTGCGCTCCACTTTGCTGCTAGTTTAGTAAGTTAACTGTGCTAACAATCATTCACACATGTACTTTTAACTATGTGTTTCAAAAGTGTAGTTTTCTCGCGTATTTTGAGCTCTTTTCCCGCTGTCTTCATCATGAATTCAGCTATACTAATTAATATTTAGATGTTATGTTATACTTTACTGTCGTAAATATAAATGGCATTTATATGTCATGTATATATATATGTATGGGAACGTTCTGTTAACGTCCCGAATGTCCTCTTTGTAACGTTTGTTATGTGACCTTAAAATACCCCAAATAGAACGTCCCCCTAAAGTCATAAGGAACCTTGAACTGCAGCACTTTCATAACCAAAAGAGGACGTTCTATGAACGTCCTCAATGTTGTATAAAGGTTTGGAACTTTCGTTACCTTTAGACAACTTTTAGGGAACGTTGCATAAGGTCGCGAGAACGTCCCCTCCTACGTGGGTACACATATTACTGAGGGTTGAGGTAAATGTTTGGTTTCCTGCATAAAATGAATCCATTGTCGATCTTTTCCCCATGGTGATTATGTGTTGCGCTGTTACACCCCACAATACAGCAACGGTTTACCATGGTTGAAATAGTAACGCCAAATGAATCAAATCTTTAAAATCAAATCTGTTTACATTCGCTAGCTGCCAACATGGCCGCCGCGCCAGTAATGACGTCACGACGCCCAAGCCCGCACCTAAACCTAACCATCACATGGGTTTAGACTAATAATCGTACGAATCCAATTTGTACGAGTGAGGTCATATGAATTAGTACGAATTAGCCACTTTTTAATCACTCGTACGAATTCGTAGGATTTGGTAGTGAGATAGCGTTGAAAATGCTGATAATTTTACTAAATTAATCACTGAACTCCGAATTTGACAGAAATAATATAATATCAAATAGAATAGAATATCATATACATAAATATATTTTGTATTGCACATACGAGGACACACACACACACACACACACATACATACATACATACATACATACACACATATATATATATATGTGTGTGTGTGTGTGTGTGTGTAAATAAAATGTTATTTATTGTTAAAATGTTATATATATATATATATATATATAGTGTAAATAAAATGTTATTTATTTATTATAAAATCACATTAAGAATTCAGTGAGTCATTTGGTAAAATTATCATCTTTTTTAAAGGTGCACATGTGTAATTTTGTGTCTGTTTCAAGTCTTGGACTTGTGAAAATATATATATATATATATATATATATATATATACTGTATATAAATATATATTAAAAATATATTTGTTACAGAATTATTCATATCTCTCTCTCTTTCTTTTACATTGGAAGTGTACTTATGTACCTTAACATTCTGTAACTGCACTGTGCACATGTTAGTGAAAGTTTTAGAAGATATCTAAACAAATGATCCACAAAAGAGGATATATGTACACTTCAGGAAGCATGGTGTTTCCTGCAGGGTCTGTGACTTGGAACTCAAAGCTGTCTGCGGTCACTTCCATATCAGCAGGAATGACATAGCGCACTGCCTTCTGGTCCAGATCCTTCTGGGTGAAGCGTCCTTTGATATAGGCACCTATATCAGGAAGAAAATTCATTATAATCTGGACACAATCTGTGAATATTATCAAGTGACCCGTGCACCTGCCTGTGAGGGTGTTTTCAAGGTAACCGAAGTGTGGAGGCCTTGTGATTGTGAACTCGAGTGTGTCATCGGGACTGTCTGGATCTGAGGCTTTCAGCTCTTTGAAGGTGATGTAGATGCCCTGTTTGCCATCTGGAAGATTCTCCACGGTACTTGGAATCCCTTTGTTTACAATAGTGGGTGGTGTCTTGTCCAATATATCTATCTGTGAAGATATAATACTTCAGTACAATCTACAGAGAGCGGCCATTTAAACTGCATTCATGCTGCACTACCACTACACTGAAAAAAACTACTTGTAAGATTTACTTAATAAAATCCTCGTAACAATTTGCACAAGTAAATTTTAAGTAAATTTTACTGCTATAATATTAAGTACAACTCGCGTGCCATTATCAAGTAAAATCTACTTAGTATTGAACAAAACTCTCATGAAGAAATTAAGTAAAAAATACCCATTTACATTTCATTTAGAAGCTATATCTATTTAAAGTAATTAAGTAAAGTTTATTTATTGTTTTTAAATTAGGAAGCTTGCTTTTATGACATTTTTAAGTAAATCTTACCATTTAATGAAGTAAAATAAGTAGATATTACTTAAGTTTTTTTTGTTGAGATTTTCATTTACTACATATTTAAACATTTAAACATTGATAATTTCTTTTTTATAAATAATCATGAACATAAATAAATAATCATTTTCTCAATATTTTTCACAAATCACACAACTAAAATTCAATTAAACAGTTTATTTTTCAGTCATCAAAAATGTTCATACAAGAATGGACATTCAGTCATCTCTTGACACAGGTGCATTCAGTAAAACTGTCTTTACGGTATTGCTGCTTCCAGCATTTCCTTCCCTTCTAAAAGGATGGATACATCGATTGGATCTTCTCCATCAGCACCACGAACGACCAGTATTTTAATGCTGTGCTGAGTGATGTCACTGCCGCTGTCCGCCTGCATACAATTTAGAAGAAAAAATATAATTCTTTTGAGAAACAAAAATATAATGGCTTAAATTATTTTATTTGACTTGCATTAAAGGACAAGTTCGGTATTTTACAATTAAAGCCCTGTTTTAAGATCGTCCCTGATGAAATAGAATAGTTAAGATTGTTTTTTAGACAGATGTTTCTGTCACGAGAATTTTTGGATTCTGTGTTAGCACCCCCCCACCTTTATAATGAAAGCATAGGTCCACTCGAACAATCATTCATTAAAACGCATAAAACTTTAGTTTACAAAGACGTGAAACTCACCGAGTGGTCTGGGGTGTTCACTGATATGCTCACACAAAAATCGCTGTAAAAGATGCTTTCCAACAGGTTTTATCGTAGTTTTTGTCCAAGTCCATTTTCTTCCTGTTTTTGGTCGAAATCCACAGTAGTCAATTGTCGAGTTCACGTGCGCGATCCTTAGTTATGTAGTTCGAGTTTGCGTGCGCGATCCTTAGTTATCTAGTTCGAGTTTGCGTGCGCGATCCTTAGTTATCTAGTTCGAGTTTGCGTGCGCGATCCTTAGTTATCTAGTTCGAGTTTGCGTGCGCGATCCTTAGTTATCTAGTTCGACCGAAAACAGGAAGAAAATGGACTTGGACAAAAACTACGATAAAACCTGTTGGAAAGCATCTTTTGCAGCGATTTTTGTGTGAGCATATCAGTGAACACCCCAGACCACTCGGTGAGTTTCACGTCTTTGTAAACTAAAGTTTTATGCGTTTTAATGAATGATTGTTCGAGTGCACCTATGCTTTCATTATAAAGGTGGGGGGGTGCTAACACAGAATCCAAAAATTCTCGTGACCGGAGCATCTGTCTAAAAAACAATCTTAACTATTCTATTTCATCAGGGACGATCTTAAAACAGGGCTTTAATTGTAAAATACCGAACTTGTCCTTTAAAGACACCGTTAATATAGTCCAAATGACTACAGTGGCTCAATCTTAAATTTATCAATGGACGAGAATAGTTTTTGAGTGCAAAAATTAAAATAAAATAACGGCTTTATTCCACTATTCATTTCCTTCTCTCTGGGCCTTGAGTTTTTTCATGTAGTGTAATAGCGCAGCGTGTCTGTCCTGCACGTCACCACGTTAACTCACTATTGGCCGACACTGGTCATGTGACGTACAACACAGATGTGCTACGCAGTTATACTACGTAAAAAGACTCTGTAGAGAAGCCCACAGAGAAGGAAATGAATAGTGGAATAAAGTCATTATGTTTGCGCACAAAAAGTATTCTCGCCGCTTTATAAACTTAAAATTGAGCCACTGCAGTCACTGCATGACTACTTTGATGATGTCTGTATTACCTTTTCTGGACAAGTTTAAAATATTCTAGCTGACCACCCAGTGTGCGACTTTCATTTTAAAATATATCTCCTTATTATTTCCATGGCGACGTTTCGTGATTGTGAAAATGAAAATGATGTCATTAATGACTCACCCTCATGTCGTCCCGAGCCCGTCAGAACTCTGTTCATCTTCAAAACACAGTTTATCATCTTCTTTATCGTCAAAGTAGAGAATGAGGCTGCGGATAACTGATTCCCATCTCAAGGCTTTGTGTCTGTGAACAGATTTATATTGTACCATTACACAACCTTTTATTCATACACAATGAACTCAATGAAATCAAGTGAGAACACAAAAGCATTAATGCGCAAGGAACACTGATTTGAGTACTTAGAGCAAAGTGACTCTACTTCCTGTTCCTGTCTGCCTTGCATTTTGGCCAAAGCAGAACTGTCGCTGAAACTCTATCATCTTCACTACAGATTCTTAATATTTGAAATTTAAGTTGTAATTTATGACTAAAATTCTAATTACTGAAATTTCAGAACTTTTGACTTTTGTCTGTTTAATACAGTAAAGCTACTTTAATGCAATCTATATTGTATTAAAAGCTATACAATAAATGTACATGCATGTATGAGAAATACATTAAGTATATCTTATTTAAAAAAATGTGAACAAGCACACTTTTGATCAAACACACCTGACTCAGTTTGTCCAGAAATGGCCTCAGTTGGTCCCCACAACACCTCCCATGGCCTTCATCAGGGCAATAAGTCTTGATGTGCATTGGTCAAGTCTGAACATGAATCTCTGCCCCATGATCGATTCTCCTGAATTCCTCCTTGATCTAATGTGACAAAATGATTCAAGAGTACAACAGCAGAAATGTGGTTAAATAGACTGATGCAGGGAGCAAGGGTTAATTATGTACAAGGACTGTAGATATCAACAGTGGAGTGAACAATCCAGTACTTTCTTTTGTAATGTGCAAATCCAAAAGAGAAACACTAATTTGGCAATTCAATTTTAACTTTGAGTTTTGTATATTTCAAGTTTATTTATTTTTTCATGTGCTAAATCAATTACTGTTGCCAATATTAATATTGCCCATGATTGCCACTCACGATCTCTGCAATAAACTTAACGCAGCCGCAGGATGCTTTTAGAAACGCAGCCCTGCTTATTTTGAGACCTCATTAATGCACGATTTAGTGCGATTTAAAAAAAAAATAGCTTTACGTTCCATCCTGAGCAATATTCAGCAAGAGCATTCAAACTTTTCCAGTCAACAGTATAACGTTACTTCAGCAGGAGAGCGGTTGACATTAAATTGTTCATTTAAGGCCCAATTTTAGCTAGTTAGCAGTTAAAACGGTAAATATTGTCTACTAATTTCTACTTAGTTGGACATTTTTACATGAAAAACAGTGCTTTGTGAATCTATAAAACTACTGAAAACTTTTCCGATTAAATGTAGGAAGTGAAAGGGTTAACGTGGATAACCGACACGCGTTGCACTATGAGGCCATGTTATAAGATGAGCATTAATGTTTATTGAGTCAAATAAACAAGAATCATCAATCAAAACCCACACAGACCCATGTATTAAATGTAAAACAGAAAGACAAACTTACCTCAAACACGACAGAAAGCAGCCACGCAGCAGCCCGCCAATTCGTCTCAGATCCAAAGTGCGCAGTTAGACTGTCTTGTCCAAACACGCATGTGCGGATTCAAACGCGCTATGCTTTTCGATTAAAATTTACTTAAAATTACTATGTTTATGTGAAGTGACTATAAAACGTTTAAATATTACAAGCAAATATATGATAAGATTTACTCTTTCCAACCAGTTAATTTATTACATGAATTAAACGCGTAGATATTTAAAATTTTACTTAGAAAATTCTAGTTCACATTGAATTTTAATTTTATTAAGTAAAAATTATGATGATTCATTTAATATATATTACTACACCAAAAAGTTCGTTTTTACAGTGTAGAGGGAAGCATTAGAGAATGCAAGCACTCATTTCACAGCCATTGCTCACTTTAGTTGTTTAAATACTGTAAAATGTTGTCAAGAGCATTTGTGTTTTCCTTATTTATTGTTTTTCTTTAAACACATAGGTTATTTGATTAATTATTTCTTCATTATTTCTTATTAATTTTGTTTATTTTATTAATTATTACGAAAATTCTGAATGATAAACAATGTACTTTTATAAATAAGATTGGTAAAAAACAAAGGTTATTATAAATAAAATATAATTAATATATAATACATTATTTAGGGGAGACTAGGAGTCACTTTTTACCAGAATAAATATTTCTTGTAATGTTCTCATGTTTGTCTGCTTTGTCTTTGCCATACTGATTTTCTTTAATGTAAATACACCTTATTTAAATATTTTTATTTATCTATTACATTTATTTATTTGTTTAATTTTATTAACATTAATACAAAATTTCACAATAAAAAATCTGTTTAAGTGAGATTAGTATAAAAAATAACAAAGCGAACACAGTAATCCGGACAAAGGTAAGCTGCGCTCCAAGCACATGCATAGACTTTTAAAAGAAACGTTGTGACGTTTGTGACGTAAATATATATATACACACACACACACACACACACACACACATATGTTTGTGTGTGTGAGAAAATGTATGTAGCCTATGCATGTCCACAAATACTGACCAGTAAACTGTATATATCTAACATCAAATTTAATTAAAACATACCTTCACTTGTTTACCAAAAAAGCTAAATATGTTTGGAGGGGAAAAAAATCAGAAAATATTTTTAAGCTTGTTTAAAACCACTGCCATCAAAACCACATTTGTATAATTGACTCACAACCCTTTCCTCTTGTGACAACTCTCACTCTCCTTCCATATTTTATTTTAAAATTGTTTAATAATATGAATTGTTTTAAAAAAAAGGCTCAATACTGTATTTATAGCTTACCAGAAAATTCGTAACTCAACTTAAAACGTAAGACGTAAGGGCGACGTAAAACACAATGTGTGCTATTGTTGTGTGGTATTATCACATGTAAATTCAAGTGAGGGGAAGAATGGGCCTTCATATTATTTATGACCATCCCGGTCTCAGGAGTCGTGCGGTTAGACTAGCACGCGCCGAGTTTAAGAAATGCGCGGCAGCGACTTCAGCCAAGTGACGGTGTGCGCGCTCCCGCGGGCCCCGAACAAATTTTTGGGCTGCTTCACCTGTGCAGTTGGGAGTTTTTCTCTCGGTAGCACAGAGCTGGGTGTGCTGGCCAGCGCGTTTGCCGCCTCGCTGAACGCTTCAACGGAATATTAAATTGTGGCGCGGGCCTCGAGAGAGCGACGCTGTGACACAGTGAATGGCACCGGACCTGCACGAGCACCTGGCCAGCAAATCCTCTCCGTTTAACATGCAATACAACAGGGAACGCATTGTTAACCCGTTGCTCTCTTGCTGGGCTCAGTGGTTTGTGTGCAAGCCGTTTATTTGACAGCCATGTTAACTCTTTACACGCCAGCGTTTTTTTATTTATTTATTTTTTCTAGTTGCCTGCCACCGCCAGCATTTTTGATAGTTTTCACAAAATTGTCATGGCCCCTGGAATGTTGCTGTATGAATATTATCTAAACATGCAATATATCAAAAGTGAGAACGGACCCATTTTATCTAGCTTAATGCAGTCTTTTTTTTAACCAAATCGCTTCATAAATGAAGTACAAATTTGAGCAAAAAGCTGAGAAAATCGCATTTTTGTCAATTACTTTGTCCAAATCGTATTCAGAACGATCATTAAAACATACACTTACCTAAAGGATTATTAGGAACACAAAACTAATACTGTGTTTGAGAACTGCAGAACTGCCTTAATTCTACGTGGCATTGATTTAACAAGGTGCTGAAAGCATTCTTTAGAAATGTTGGCCCATATTGATAGGATAGCATCTTGCAGTTGATGGAGAATTGTGGGATGCACATCCAGGGCACGAAGCTTCCATTCCACCACATCCCAAAGATGCTCTGGTTGAGATCTGGTGACTGTGGGGGCCATTTTAGTACAGTGAACTCATTGCGCCCCTACTACCATATAACAGTGAACACTTCTGAAAGAGTTAATTAGGTTGCACGAAATAAATCGTTTTCCTGACAGAAATTGTAAGGTAAACCATAGTATGATGTGGTACAAACCTCATAATTCATTTGTTTATTATGATTTTAAAGACTTGTATAAGAATGAATTATAACATTTTGTGCTTTTTAGTGTCTATTTATGAGTCTATTTATATGCTAAACCCATAAAAGCTGACACATTTATGAGTTCCATATACATTTAAATTTAGGGTTTTCCTTATCAAAGAAAACGGAATCAAAATATTAATTTTATTATCCTGCACTACACAGATTTTTTTGTCCAATCAGATGATCTTAGAAAGGGAAAGCTCCTCTCCTTAATGCCACCTGCAATCACTACGGTATTTTGAAGTATGGTCTTGTAAGAGGTTGCAGTATACATCTGTATTTTATAAAGTTGTTGTAGGTCTACCTATTTACATACAGTATATAAGAGAAATTCCCAGTTTTAATTGGTTTTGGGTGAATTTCTCCAAATAATAAACAGCCTACCTGTATGTTAAAAACAGCAGGTTCACTCTTCAGCCGTCCATACTCCAAATAACCGGCATTGGTTCCATCACTAGGCTGAAAGGTGAACCTGTCGATCTTGGCTCGTCCATTTAGATGATGGTAAGCTAGATCCATGTTGTTGATGTCCAGTTGCGTGAAATGAGGCTTAGAGAGGGGTAAACCTTTCAAGAGCAACTTGCCATATTGTGGGCTTTGAATAATGATGTAGGTGAGATTCCCTAGAGCTGTGTCTGGATCAGTCAGTTTCAGGTCATTAGTGGAAATAGTCTTCATAGAGTTCTCTGAGAGTTCAAGGCCTTTGTTGATACTCAGGGTTGGTGGGATACGGTCACTGTGTTCCACGGTGAAAAGAATAGTACCGCTTCTGGACGTCACACTGTTGGTGACTACAAAGCTGCATGAGAGAACGTATTTTGCATCATAAAAGCGGTAGAAAAAATTCTGATATTTGCACAGTTTATTGAGGATAAAATCCTTTGGTCACATTGCTTATTATAAACCGCCACTCGGATCTAACCATAACCTTTAACCATAGTAAAAATCACTGTGGCCTCATGCCTTATCACTTTATTCTAAGGTCTTGTCAGTGTTACAGCATGTTCTGAGCTGCTATCCTCACCCAACATGGTTGATGTGTTGGAGCAGAAAGACAGGACTGGGAGGGGTGCGAGCCAAGCCCCCATTCCACCCTCTGCCAAGGCAATCTGCCTCCCAACACATATTGCCCTGAAGCTGATAATTGCCAGCCATGGTAAACAACACGACTGCCACCTCGCAGTAGACTCGTAAAGAACACGCAGGTCCACTCTCACAGCCAAACTGGTGCAACATCTGGCATTGCCATTGTGCCATATTTGCTCGGTAATTGTGCCCAGGGATCCCCGTCTCTGACTACACCTCTTGGATCTGTATTACCAATTCCAGGCTGAGTTATTACTCTCTTAATAATGGCCATTTATCATCAGCTGTCACGGAAGAGCAGAGGGAGACACAAGGCTCCCAGAAAAAAAACAGTCTTCCTGTCTCTTTTGGCCCCTGCTGTCGGCCTAGAGTTTGACACACAGGTGTTTGCTCAGGTGTCTCTCCCGATCAAGGAGACCGACTGTCGCATTCTGCATCTTTTGCCTCGGATTAAAACCATTACATGCTGTAAAGACCCAAAAAACGTTTCAAACAATAAGATATCATGAGCAAGTTTTTCCCTAGTCTCTTGTGATTGTGTCGGAATTGCTAATTGAATGGGCCGTACTCACGGCCCACATGACTAACGCTGTAGTGTCCATGTGCCCATACCACCCCATGCTGTGCTGACTGAACACATTGGCACAGACTGCTCCGTACCCTCTCCGAAGGGCCACTCGCCCCTCGTCAGGCTTGGCTCAGGAAGGTTTGTTTGCTCCCAGATGACCCAATGATGAAACCAAGCCAGAGTTTTGGGTGTCAAAGATTCACACGAGAAAGGCAGCACAGGTCAACTGTACGCTCTGACTGAAGTCAGCTTTCTGCCAAATTGGCTGGAAACCCATGCAAACGAAGCAAAAATTATTCTTTTAATTTTTTCAGTCTTTTCAGAGTTTTTGCCGTCTATGGGCTAGACCAGATTGCACAATAGACAGGCAGACACAGATAGATAGACACATTTTAAAAGAACAATGAAAACCACTGACCTGAAAGAATCACGGTCAGCAAAACGGCTGTTGTCGTGAGTGTAGCATACCCGGTTGGCCGCCACATCCATCTGGGAGAAGGAGAACACTAGAACCCCTGGACTTTGGACCATGTGCAGGTGACCGTGTTCAGGTGGAACTGAAACGGTGTACATGAGCTCTTCTGGCTTGCTTCCACTGTCTGTGGCCATCAGAACGTCAGTGGTCAGAATGACTCTCTCTCCCTCCATCAAGGTCACAGGTTTAGTGATTAGAGCAATCTCACCTGTACGTGCCATAGGTCAACGGTTAAAGAGGCATTTTACATATATATATGTAAAGCTTTGAAAAATTAAAGCGTGTTAAGTCTAAAGGAAGTTGTGTGCAAGCTTATTGATGTTGTGTAAGATTTGTGTAAGCAGGGACAGTACTGGGAACTAGG